GCCAGGATGAACAGCACAGCCCCAGGATGAACAGCACAGCCCCAGGATGATCAGCACAGCCCCGGGATGAACAGCACAGAGCCAGGATGAACAGCACAGAGCCAGGATGAACAGCACAGTGCCGGGATGAACAGCACAGTCCCGGGATGAACAGCACAGCCGCGGGATGAACAGCACAGCCGCGGGATGAACAGCACAGAGTCAGGATGAACAGCACAGCCCCGGGATGAACAGCACAGCCCCGGGATGAACAGCACAACCTCAGTACAAACACCATAGCCCACAGGACAAACACCACAGCTCCTGGGCAAACACTCTGCTGCCTGGATGGGACAGGCCCAGCAGAGTTACCTCCACAAGTGCCCCACAATGTGACCATTGCCCTGCACACAGGCCAGCTGTGCTTCAGTGCGACCTTCCACCTTCACACTTCCACCTGCACCTCCTGAGCTCTGAGAACTGAGCCACAGTCTGGCAGGAGCAGCATTTTAGGGGCAGCACAGGCAGCAGGGATGCATTTCAGCTGCACTGTCCAACAGACCTTGTCAGCTCGGTCCCGCTGGACTCCAAACTTTCCCCCAAAGCCCTGGGCTGCGTCCGTCTGCGAGGAGTGCTTCCCAACATCAGCAACGTACTCGTGTCCCACTGCACACTGAGAGGAAAGACAGCGTGGAGTGAGCACCCACGGCCAGGCTGGGGCAGACACAGCCACCACACTGCTGGGACACCCACAGACACCAGTGACAAGTCCAAGCTGCCCATGCCCTTCCACGCAGCCTTTGCCAGCACCAGCCATGCCCTTGATATCCTGCAATCTCACAGTGACCACACCTACCGAACATTACTGCAGTTTAACACTCTCACTTCAGAAAAAAAAAAGAAGTGTTAAACGCTGAAAGGTGCAGGAAGAACTGGGATTGTGATTGTCACAAAACATAAACCAGATCTAGTGTGAGAACAGAGAATACAAACCAGGGATTCATCCCAGGGAGCAATGAGGTCTGTAATGCAGAATATGAGAAGAGAATCATTATTTATTAGTTCTTCAAGCACAAGTAAGGAGGCACCTGATTTAACTGTTGTGCAGCAGGTTTGAACAGCCACAGAAATTCTTCTTCACAGCTAAAGGGAGAATTGCCAAGAAGTTGTAGAGGGGAGTTACACAAATGGAATCAAATAGATCCTGGAGACAGATTATGGGCTAGCTGGACATGTGTGAGCATAAAACTCTGCAGCTCTACCAGCTCTCCATTTTCTCCCCTCAGGGTCCAGCCAGAAAACATGGATACCCCTTCCTTTATGAGAACCCTCTTCCACTGGGACTCAAGGAAGCCCTTGAAGCTGTTACCTTATCCATTCTGTCCTGCTCCGTTCCGAATTTGCCTCCGTAGCCGTAGGAGGCCTTGGGGCCAGTCTCCATCTCCTTCTTCTTGATGACCTCATGTTCCTCTGACACCTTGTTCCTCAGCTGGTGGATGCTGGTGAGACAGAGACAGGGCAGGTCAGTGTGGGATTGTCGAGAGCTGTGCAGCCAGTTGGAGCATCCCTGTGGCCCTGCCCCAGCCAGAACCCAGGGCAGAGCAGGACATGTGCCTGCTGCCAGCTGCCACCACGTTCCCCCGCACTGGGTTCCCCTGGGTGCCAGCCACACCAGAGAGGGTGCTACCCCAGGGCCTGCCGAGGGACCAGAGCACTGGGCTCTGGGGGGACATCCTGCAGCCCTGTTCAGGGCCACATCCCAGCTTTCCTCAGGATCCCACACCTCCCTGGGCTGTCCCCAGGGTGGTCACTCTGGCTGCACCGCAGGGCAGCGCTGGGAGGATGTCCCGAGGGAGCTGCTGCCGCGGGTCAGCCCCGGGCAGGGAAGGAGCCTTTGCACCGAGAGACTCGCCCCGCAGCAGCACAGGTGGCTCCTGCCTCCCACTGCGGTGCAGCCCCGGGACGCCGCTCCGCCAAACCGGGAGAGCCCTCCCCGCCTCTTCGCAAAGCAGCCCCGACGTGGCCGGTTTGGGGCCGCCCCACGCGTGGGGACGTGCCCGCGCTCCGGTCCCGGTGCCTGTCCCTGTCCCGCACCCCCGGCAGGTTCGTTCCCCGCCGCACTCACTCGATGTGCCCGGCTCGGCCGGAGCCCTCGATGGTTTTGGCTCCCCAGCGCTGCTCCCGCTCGGAGATGTCGTTCTGCGGGCGAAGCGTGTCCGTCACCCCCGGCCCCCCACACCGGGCTCGGGAATGTTTATATATAAAGCCTCATGCTGCTCAGGCTTAGTTTGAATGCTTGCACAAATAGAAGAAATGAAGTAAAAACAAGCAAAAAAAAAAAAAAATGGACGGCGTAGATTTTTTCCTAAAACGTTAATAATTTGGAACTTTGAGGAAGGGAATTGCTTTTCTGTCCCAGACTAGGATTTCTAACTGGAAATAAGTAGGCAAGGCTGGACCTCAAAAACACGGGGCTCTTGTGTAACAGGAGAGGCTTATTAGGAAAGGAATAGAGAACCAAAAGGAAAATGAAAATCATGACCCTGTATGAATGAATGCAGGGAGTTCCCCAGGCTGAGCCCTTCTGCTCTCTCACCAGCTCACCCAGAGTCAGACCAGATAGAAAACAAGTGTATGAGGGGCACAGAGCTGCACCTGCACAAGGGGACTACAGACAGCAGGATTTTCCATCTGGACAAAAAAAGACAAATGAGGGAAATGCTGGATTCTGTGCAGATACAAACAGTATGGGACAGAGAAAATATAAGTCTTGTAACACAGGTTGTGGGGAGAACAAGGGAAGCTACTGAGGAGCAGGTTTAATATTCTGTATTAATATTTAATTTAATTTAATTAATTTAATTATTATTTTTGTTTATTTTATTATATTTATTTTATATTTATATTTATATATATTATATATAATTATATATAATTATTATAGAATATATATATTTATATATATAAATATAATATTTATATATAAATATATAATATATTTTATATTTATTATATTATATTTATTTTATTATATTTATCAATATTATTATTTATTTTATTATATTTATTTTATTATATTTATTAATATTTATCATATTAATTTTAATTAATTAATTAATTAAACTTAAATTAATTTAATTTTAATTTAATTTAATATTCTGTATTAACATTCTGTACTCCCCAAGTGCCATTACCTGTGGTCAGACCTGGAGGTGGCACTGATGCAGGAATTCTGGAGACTGAACATGGAGATGGGGCAGAAGTGGCTCAGACAGGTGACTGATGGTTCCCCACGCCCCGGCCCAGCAGAGCAGCCCAGGGGGCCAGGAAACCCTCACACCACCAGGATAACAGTTACCACGCCAGACACTCACCACGAAATCGGGGTCCGTGTCCCAGTCGTCCCCCTGAGGCTCCACCTTCACTGACACGTCGTGTCCCACGACCGCTTTCCACATCTGCGCAGCGAGGGCACGGCTGTCACCCAGGGCCCGGCACGTGGGCACAGCTGGCACAGGGCACCCCAAAACAGCTGCTGCTCCCAACACCCGTTCATTGTCTGTGCTGGGAGAGGCTGTTCCCCAAATTTACCCCCCCGCAGCAGCACAGTCACATCACTGACATGTGCTCCCACGCACTGATGGACCTGAGGTGGGCTCTTCGAGCCTCTTGTCTGTTTTCCAACCCTTTAATCCCTGCCCAGCAGCCCACAGAAGGGTCAGGGCAAGGCTGGGCACTGGTGCCCTGTGCTATTTGTGTAGGTTGTATGGAGAAAATGGAAAATGAGGCTAAAAGCCCCAAAGGTGCAGGGCTGGATGGGCTGAGGCTGTGGTGGAACAGCTCCCACAGGCCTGGAGGAAGTGATGGGGCCCAGGA